CCTGGAGATATTTTCCAGGGTACATATCATTATAAATGTCATTACTGTCACTTTTGATCAATTTAATGCATCCTTGCTGAATAAAGGTGTTGATTTCTTTAATTTATACTGTATTACTAATTGATACAATATTACTTTATTTGCATAACATAAAAAAATCTTAACAATCTTAAACTTTTGAACGATAGTGTATATTATTTATACATATTAAAATGAACATTTTTGAAAATTAGTATGTTTGAGAATTTAAATACTATGTATATTTATTCTCCTATTATTTAACAGGGGATCAGATGGCAAGAGGTCAGGAACGATCTGCTCTTTTCATCTGGAAGGGGCGGCACTCCACTGCCAGTGGGCGGGACTTGTCACCAGCACTGACCAATCAGTGTAGTTCTCAGGTGTTTGTAACAGAGGGGGAGGAGCCGCCCTGTTTTCTGCAGCTGTTCCAGGGAGGAATGGTCATTTATAGAAAACACAACAGAGACACAGGTCTGGTCATTGAGAAATCGAATCCTCTTCTCTACTATGGATCCACTTATTACATCTGACAATATAGGTTTGGTATGTGTTTCAGGAGGCTGGCATCTGTTCTGTGTGAGGGGGGATGTGTCTGTAGAGGGCAGTCTGTTAGAGGTCCCATGCTCCTGCTCCAGTCTGAGGTCTCGTGGCTCATTGGTCTTGCTGAACAGCCAGCAGGGGGCGATCTACCTGTGGCATGGCTGCAAAGCCCACAGCAAAGCACGTCAGGTGGCCAAGCAGACCGTCCAACGCCTCACACAGATGTGAGCCACACCTTTAACATTATATTCAACCCATGAAACATGATGAATGATGCACATTTGCAGATTGTGATCGATTTCATGTGATTGTTTGTAATGGTTAGGTGCCCACCTGAGCTGAGTCTGAGAACTGGCAGCTTTATGAATGTCCAGGAAGTGGAGGAGGGGAAAGAGCCCGCAGAATTCTGGATTGCTATTGGACCACAGGACAAGAAGTCATATGACTGCATGCTACAAGGTGTGATGTTTAACAAACTATGATAAACCATGTGTGAACTTTCTCTGTCGTGCAATGAATGTTTGCAACAGTTTTTTTTTTTTACAAGAAATGCTCTATGCTTTGTATTCCTTTCAGATCCTGGTAAATTTAACTTTACCCCCCGCCTTTTTCACCTGAGTGCCCAATCAGGAACTTTTGAAGGGGCGGAGCTCATTAGCCCCTCCCATGTTAGTGGAGTAATTACGGCAATGCCTTTCCTCCAGGATAAGTTATATTCTGTGCCACATCCAGGTGAGAGCAAGCAAGTTCACATACACAGAAACACAAGTGGACATGAAGGCTTTTCACACTACACTTAACCACAGGTTTACTTTCAACGCCGAAGCAATGTTTCCTACTTATGAAAGTGTTGACTTACTGAAATATTGATCAGATGGACAAGCATTTATTAAAGTGCCCCTATTATGCTTTTTCAGATATCAACTTTCATGTAGTGTGTAATATATCTGTTTGTGCTTGTGATTGTAAATTGATTCAAAAATCAAAGTGCACAATAAATGGAGTTATTGTCTTCCAAAAGAAAGAACCGATTCTGAGCTGCCTGAAACCAGTCGTCAGTAATTCCATCCTTACTTCCTGCTCAAATATACATAGGTTTGTAACAAATTTGCATATGGATTTCATTGGCTGCCCGTGAACAACGTCTACTTTGACCCGCCCTCAACAACTGTTGTTGTAGCTGAAGCCTGGAAGAGTTTGGTTCGTGTTGTCGACATGTCAAATACATTTTGCATGAATTTCCAAAGGAGGAGGTCTTGCGCTTCAACTGATATGACTGACACCATCACTACTGTTTGTTACAAGTGCTGAGAAAGCCTTCGGAGCTGAAATTCAGCTATGGTAATGGGCGTTTTGTTCAGCCTGGGCCACCTGACCAATCAAAGCAGAGTGGATGCATACAAACCTGTTGTAGTAGGATACATCCAAAACAAGTTTAATTGGACAACATCCAAATTAGAAGCCTTTAAAATAGCACAATAGGAGCACTTTAAAATAACTTGTCTGCCACGTGTGTCCAATCAAATCATACTTGTCCAAATCTGAAACCTCACTACCCAGAATTCATTCCAAATTCAGGGTCAAATATAAACTGTGAAAGATGAAACAAGATCACGCAGGATTAAGCTGATCATTTTAGACGTGGATTCACAACTGTGAACCTCCCAATACAAGATACATAACTTTGGTTTTCTCGGACAAACAGATACAACTAGATCAAATTGAATGTAATGTGCATTATTTGTTTCCTCACACTGCTGTGGTGTTGTAACATTCTCTCGGCAGCACTATTCCTGCTGGATAACTATCTGGAGGTGTATTTATGGCAAAGTTGTGAAGCTTCAGTCTCACAGCACCCCCACTGGGACAAAGAGAAGAAGTGCGCCATGGAGACTGCCTTACAGTACTGCAAAGGTGAGTTTGGATTCGGCGAAAAGAGCACAGATGCTGTTCAGAAGCCTTCTGTTTCTGTTTTGTAAGGTTCTTTTTGGTGTTTTGTGTTCAGAGAGAAATCCTAGACGACCTCCCATGGCATACCTTATTGATGAAGGGGCAGAGCCTCTCACCTTTACTAATATATTCCCTTCATGGGAGATGAGACTGACACAAGGAGTACAAGTGAGTGAGGACATGTCATCATCATCATATGCATGAGTGAGTGCTTACATGATTTAGACTGAAGTCTCATTTAAATATTTGTTTTCTTCCAGGACTGCACAGTGTGTAAAAAGCTGACTTTGGTGCAGGATGCTCTAGCTGCCCTTAATAAGACCCAGTTTCCCCTTAAGGATCTGCTAAAGAGACCTTTACCCGAGGGAGTGGATCCTTTACACTTGGAGAACTACCTGTCTCAGCGTGATTTCAAGGTCTAACGCTAAAACATAATGGCCTGGTTTCACAGACAGGGCTTAGATTAAGCCAGGATTAGGTTTTAGTTCAAGTAGGATATTTAAGTAGCTTTTATAAATGTGCCTTAGTAAAATAAAAATAAACATTACTGCTGTGTACCTTGAGACAAAACAATGGCAGTGACATATTTTAAGATATATCAGTGCAAGTTGTTTTCTGTTAAAACAGCTCAAACATGCATTTTAGTCTGGGATTAGTTTAAACCTGATCTGAAACCGGGGGGAATATAGATTACAGTATGGTTGAGTTTAGCAATACCAGCTTTTTATTGTCGTCAGTTATTTTTACACTGTATTTTGAATCTAAAATTGTATTTTATGTAGATATTTCATTTATATCAATTGAGTCTTGCATATCGAAACCTTTGACTTACCGACATGTAAAGCAAAAAAAAAATTTACTTTTGTTTTTACATGTTGTTTAAGGGCAGTTTTATTTAAAAAATTTTTTTTTTGATATTTAATAAATAATAATTTAAAATATATATATATTTAGTTATTTAATTAATTTAATAAATAATTTTACAGACATACAGTACACTACCATTAAAAATGTTGGGCTCAGTACGTTTTTTTATGCTTTTGAAATTATTTTATGCTCACCAAGGCTAAATTTATTTGCTGAAAAATACAGTAAAAACAGTAATATTGTGAAATATTGTTCAAAAATGTCTTATTATCAATGTTAAAAACAGTTGTGCTGCTTAATATTATTGTGGAAACCTTGATGAATTTTTTTCAGGATTCTTTGATGAATATAAAGTTCAAAAGAACAACATTTATTTAAAGTATAAATCTTTTGTAACATGATTAGTCTTTTCTGTCACTTTTGATCTGTTTAATTATGTCCTTAATGAACAAAAGTATAAATTTCTTTAAAATAATAATAAAAAAAACGTACTGGCCCCAAACGTTTGAACAGTAGTTTATTTTAAAAAATAAAGCAGAATTTGTGATTGTCTAGTTAACTACAAACTAAAGTCTTATAAAACTAAAATCTTAAAAACACAATTTGGTTTTCAGGCAGAATGGAAAAAAAAAGTCTGACTTTCAAAGTCAGCCAATCAAATTATAGCTCACCTGATTAAGAAAATAGAAGCTAATATCATGTAAACTATTAAGTCTGATAGGTTATCTTACGATCTTCTTGAAAAATAAATAAATACATCAGGAGAGGTTGAAGTAACTGCCCTGTTTATTTGTTTTAGGCTGCTTTAGGAATGACATGGAATGACTACAACTGTCTATCAGATTTACAAAAAATGGACCTGAAGAAAAGCAAAGGACTTTACTGAGTGTCAGCAGCACTGTGACCTAGGCTCAACATGAAGCAAAATTAAAAAAAAAAGATGTGTTTGTAAGATGACATGTTCTTGATGGCAGTCATGTGTACAGTGTAACTGTAAGTGTGAGTGTGTCTTTCGGTCTGCTGCTTCTTATAATGTCTAATGCCCAGCGCTCATTTTGGCCAAAAGCTTTCTGTTCAAAGCTAGACAGAACCATTAACTATATGACTTTGAGAAATAGCTTCCATGTTTTTCTTCCCATCCTCCATTGCAGCTGTTTCTCTTCCCGCTTTCTTTATCTCTTCCTGTCTGCCTTTTTTCTCTCCTCTCAACACAAAGCAGCACATGTGAATAAAGATCTGGTTGTTTTACTGAACTTACAGTTGAATTTAGTAATGTTTATTTTAAAATAAAACAAAATGAAATCTTTTCACTGTGAAACTTTTATTCAGCTTTACAAATATCAAATACATAAACAGAGCAAGAATGGAAGAACAAATAGAGGAACATAAAAGAAATGTCAGTAACAAGATTGCTAGAAAAAAAAATCCCAAACCACAGCAATAGGAATTAAAAGGGGAAAATACTGATAGTCAACAACAGAATGCTGAAATGTATTCTTATATGATTGATATCTTTATTTAATACATGAATTATTGTATGTGTGTGTGTGTGTGTGTGCGCGCGTGTACGTGTGTGTGTGTGTGTGTGTGTGTGAGAGAGAGAGTGCGTGCGTGCGTGCGTGCGTGTGTGTGTGTGTGTGTGTGTGTGTGTGTGTGTGTATGTGTAGCTGCTGAAAGTGTAAAGTGTAGTGGGAGTTTGAGGGAGGGAAATATGTGTGGATTTAGACTCATGTAACTGGTCAAAAATTACACGAGCAATACCATTTAGCACATTTTGTATTTGGTTTATACATTGATGTTTTTGAGTGTCTCAGGCATTGTTTAGCATTAGTATGTACATTTGAATCCAGCATGAGGAAATATCAGAGAGTATGACCACAGATTAAACTGCTGAACGTGTAAAGTGTAGTGGGGGTTTGAGGGAGGGAATTAGTGTGGATTTAGACTCATGTGACTGGTGAAAAATTACAGGCAACATCTAGATAGCAGATTGACAAAATAATGCGAGTTTTGCTTGCTGCGAAACTGTTCACATCCAGCTATTTAGACTTGTTCAAGTTTGGAGTCTTTTTTCTTTTTCTAAAAAATGTATAAATTCAGCAAGGATGCATTAAGTTGATAAAATTGACAGTAAAAACAAGCATAATATTACAAAACATTTCTATTTCAAATCAATGCTTCTTTTGAACTTTCTATTTATCAAATAATCCTGAACTATCACAGGAATACATTACATTATTACATTGTATATTCAAATAGAAAACAGTTATTTTAAATGGTCATAATATTTAACAATATTAGTGTTTTTACTTTATTTTTGATCATCAGCCTTGGTGAGAATAAGATACTTTTTAATTTTTTTTTTTTTTAATCTTTGGACCGTAGTGGAAACAACACCATGGGAGAGACAAAATAAGAGAAATCTAATACAAAAGTACTATATCAACTTAACATGTGATTATATTATGCAAATGTCTTTTAAAATTGTGAATATATACTATGTACTATATACAAACTGATCTGCAAATGAGACTGAACTGGAAATAAGGAAAATGAACCAGAATTTGTATATTTTAGAGAGAAAAAATACAAATGACTATTGATGCTAATAATGAAATTTTGTAATTGATGCATGATAACATTACATGTAATGTTTTAAAACAACACACCATCTAGACTTAAATATGAGACACAAGAAAGAAAAGGTAAATCTTATTATGTTTATAAAAGGTTTAGCTAACAAACTTGGCAATACCATTTAGCACATTTTGTATTTGGTTTATACATTCATGTTTTTGATTGTCTCAGGCATTGTTTAGCACTAGTATCTACATTTGAATCCAGCATGAGGGAATATCAGACAGTATGACCACAGATTAAACTGGAATGTAACAGATAAAATGAAAGAAAGAGAGAAAGAAACAATTTGGAAACAAGGCTAAGCTAAGGTGCCTTTCTCTTTCACACCATGGATGTGTTGAGGTATTGCCCACTAATTCTTTACAGGCACATTCATAATAGTGTATGTACATACAATATGCCAGCCAAAGTCTTGTGTGTGATTCAGATTGACTGCTCTCTCTCTGGCAAACCTCTCTCTGGTTCAGACGCTAAAGCCGCCTCTCTCAACACCACCATGTGATCCTCGGCTGCATGCAGTGATTGGTCGATCCAGTCCAGGCTGCCAGACATGTGACAGGCGTTTCGTGTCACCAGTACCAAGTGGCTGACCGACAATAGTAATGCTGTGGCCCTGGTCCAAAAAAACAATGTGGCAAAGTCAATGCACTTCTTTGCAGAAACTTAAACATAAAGTACAATAGACCCTGCTAGCATATGAAGTTACCTGGCATCCAGAAGAATGGGGTCCAGCGGAGGGTACATGGATCGAACCACGTCATCCACCCTGTGATGGCACAACGCGTCAGTATCAATACTCATGTGTGTCATATAAACTCCTCAAACTGTTTACCTTGGGCTGATGCGTTTGGCCACGGTGATGATGTCATTCAGGCTGGCAGGTGCTTTGACCTTTGCCCCAGAGCCCATTGTCATGGCGACTAGCTTTTCGGTGAGAGTGTGGCATATCTGTACAGAACCAAGACGCTCATTTTATTAAACCAAACAATGCTGTGTATTATTATACTTACACTACAGTACAGTTCATGTCATGTTTGTGGTCAGTAAGATGTTTTTAAAGAAATGAATACTTTGATTCAGCAAGGATGCATTAAATTGATCAAACGGGACAGTAAATCATTTATAATGTTACAAAAGATTTCCTTTTCAAATAAATGCTGTTCTTTTGAACTATATATCCATCAAAGAATCTTAAAAAATGTATCGGTTTTCACAAAAAAATATTAAGCAGCACAACTGTTTTCAACATTGATAATAATAATAAATGTTTCTTGAGCTCTAAATCATCATATTAGAATGATTTCTGAAGGATCATGTGAAGACTGGAGATATGATGCTGAAAATTCAGCCTTGACATCACAGGAATAAAATAGAAAACCGTTATTTTGAAATTGTCATCTTATTTCACGATATTGCTGTTTTTATTTTATTTGATCAAATAAATGCAGCCTTGGTGAACATAAGAGACTTCTTTGAAAAACATAAAGAAAAATCGTACCGACCCCAAATTATCCATGTCTTTAAAAATGAATTATATGATATTATAAAATTTGGTCTTGAAATTTGAGCACAAAATGTACCTTCAGAATTGCAATGCAGTGAGACACAAGACCACTGAGAGAAAGACATATCAGTAAAGTGTTAACAACAGAATATTAGTATTAATAAAAATACTATGGTTGTGAACGTGAATATGGAGAGAAGGCATACGAGGCATCTTCGATCCAGTCTTCGTTCTCCAGTATGGCCTCAATATGAGGATTAGTGATGACAACATCATCCAGCTCCAGCTCTGATGGTTCACTCTGAGTCTCCATCGCTCCAATCAAATCCACTGTAGGTCTAAAATATAAAAAAAGAAGAGTAGAGGTATTTTCAAAGCTCAGAATCTTGGCATGCAAATTGGTGATGCCTGCTTAATCCCGAGTGTGGGAATGAACGAGGCCATGTCTTATTCTGTAGTGTACACTCAGGTACATACTTGGAATCAAAGTGGTGCAGAAAGTCTGGAGGGTGGCAGTAACGATGGCGGCACACAACCACCAGCGCCACAAATGATGCCAAGAAGATGGTGGCGAGTACACCGATGGCCACGATCACCACCGTCTCCATGGCTGTGATGATGAGGAGGATGATGATGAACGATTGGCAAAAAGTTGCTTGTCTGGAGTTTGCAAAAGCTAGACGTTTCTGAGGAAATAAAGACAAGAACTCTAGTTTATATAAAAATTATATCTCCTTATTATAAAAAAAATAACTACAACTCTCTCTCTCTATCTATCTATCTACAGTATCTGTCTGTCTGTCTGTCTGTCTGTCTATCTATATTAAACCTTGTTTCTAGTATAGAAAAGTAAATATCTGTGCCAATGAACATGTCAGTGCCGTCAGAATGACAAGTCCTTGCTTAGTCATGTTGTCAATATAGCAGTGTACTCTGGAGGGATGTTCTGATGTAAACTATGGCTAAGGTTTTGATGACAATTATTGTCAATTGTAGGTTACACTTTAATGTATGTGGGAGTTTGATTGCAAAAGACTGGACAAGATTCACATTTACTGTTTGTACTGTAATTTGTTGACAGACCATGTCATTGCAATACAAAGAAAGGAAAAGAGCACTGCATAGCATAAAGAAACAACAACAAAAAAACAAAACAAAAGTAGAAATGTGAACAGGACAGATTTAGAAAAAAAGTCAAAAAAGGAAATGAACATGCTTGACATATTATGACAACTGGTTCAACCATTTTGCATGTAAAGACTTATGCTATGAACTAATGCCTAAATGTTGTGAGGGGTGAGACTATTCAACAGAGACCCATTATAATACATTTTGATCAACATGACATAAGCAATTGATAATGTAGGAAACAGCAGAGAATTGTGCATAATCATTTGCAGGGATGTACCAAAGCATTTGCAACTTGTTAAAAGAAATGAGAAACTGCTTTTTTTGATGTGGACAAGCGACACAATGATGTGAAGATTGAACAGGTAGTTTTGAGAATTTCAATTCTGATCTGAGAAATGTACCAAAGCGACTGAGAAAAACTGTCATAAAGGTTTGGTTGTATCTTTGTGTTTCTTAAAGGAGCAAAGAAAAACTATCATAATGAGACTTCAGTATTATTGTAAGTAACTTGTTGAGTAAATAATGTAATATCCTCCCTTTTACTCTCCTTACGCTTCACTAAATACAGAGATAACAACTTGATTTATACACTCTTTTTCAATTAAATATGTAAAGCTTCATTCAGACTGTCCTCTCATCCTCTCTCTCGATGGTGCTTACAGCAGTGTAAGAGCTGTTTTTTTATGAGTATATCGATTTAAAATGAATGCAGGAGTGTTTTTGTGTGTGTGTGTGTAGCTGTGTCTAATTGTGTCTATGTAAGGGTCACACCCATCAGACCTTTGATCAGTCAGTCATTAACCCGATCACAGTGTATATATGAGTCAGTCTGGCACCATGTGTTTGTATCACTGTCATTAAAGCTCTATAAGTATGGTGTGTTTGCCTTGCCCTTTTGGTAAAAAACAGAGGCAAGACTGAATATTTCAATTCAGGCATGAAAAGCCTCAGTTTGTTTAAACATGTTTTGAACATATAGGGCCATTTTAACGATCTAAGCTCATGGTTTAAAGCGCACGGCGCAAGTGTCCGAATCCACTTTTGCTAGTTTAACGACGGGAAAAATGGTCTGCGCGCCCAGTCCATGGTCTAAAAGGGTTGTCCCTATTCTCTTAATGAGTAATGGCCTTATGGGTGTGTTTTGGGCTTTACGTGCAATAAACCAATCAGAGTCTCATCTCCCATTCCCTTTAAATGCCAGTTGAGCAGACCATCTACGGGACAAGCCGGATTCCACCATATCTTTATTAATCTTTTACATTGTAATCCTTTAATTTTTTATATTTTGCATGTTTGTGTGCTGCTGCGCGCGCTCTTTAAATAACAAAAAAAATATATATATAGGCTATATGTTGCGCCATTGACTTTAGGCCAGTTGGTCACCGCAGTCTATTTCAGTTGCCTCAAAATAGCAGTGCACCCTCAATGCGCCTGAACACAGATCGTTTTCAGACCAGAACGCCCATGGGTGCACAGATGGGCGCAAATGCATTTGCTATTTAAACAACGTGGCGCAGGACGTGAAAATGAAAACTGCGTCGGGCTAAAAATAGCAAAAAAACTCAGTAGCACCTCATTGCAGTACACGAGATCCAGGGGGCGGAGTTGGATCCAGATCTAAGGGGTGGAGATGGGTAGGATTAGGGGTGTGGTCAGGGATCAGGGGGCGGAGATGGGTAGGTGTAGGTATGTAAGGTATATGCACAAATATGTAATCCAGATCCAACTCCTCCCTCTGGATTTCGTGTTCTGCAGTGAGGACCATCTCAAAAAACTCGCTTTGCGCCTGGCGCTGCATTGAGTCGAGTGTTTGAAAGGGCACATAAGGTTTTAGGGTTATTGGGCCTATATCACTTAATTTCCCCAAAAGTCTTTCATTTAATGTTAACAAGTGAAAACTTACATTTTACTTTCTATTTCACTTCTAATCCCAAAAACAACTAACCGAGAAATTATTATTGTCCATTTAAAACATTTAGTCTTTTCAGCCATGCAATGCGTATTCAACATGGGAAGCAGTTACAACATATGAGAAGTAGTATTTCGATCAAGATGATGAAATAGTGTTTTGGAATGCTATAATTCCCTAATCGGATTAATTTGAACTCCCCTGGCCTTATCATACTGTGCACTATAGGCATTTTTTTCAAATTTATCCCTGCATTCAGAGACACATGGTAATGATAAATGGTAATGATAAATACAATGTAAATGGGGACACAAAAACAGTTATGTTATCACAAATTTTACACCATGTGAAAATAAACAGAGAAAAATATGTCAAGCCTTTGCATTTTGAGACATTGTCTTGCTATGGAAGCTGGTCTTTAGTTACACAGTCATAATTTGATGTCCATGCAGACGTGAGTTCATGCAGCTTGTGTAAAACAATTAATAAAGAAATGAATACAAAAAAGTGCTGGGGAGATTACTTACAAATTGTAGCCTGTTACTAATTTCAAATTACATGATGCAAATTATAGTTAGTAACAGTCAGGGGCGGACTGGCCATCTGTGTGATCTGGAGTATCACAGAACGGCCGGTACTCCAGGACGGCCGGCGGGCCGGCCCACCACCCGCCACACACACAGTCATCACCTGTTTTTTCCCCCCCACTAATCTGTTTCACACTCCAGTAGTGTAGGTGGCAGCAATGCACCTTTAAGTTGGATGCCAGCGCGGAGCATTATCAGCTCGGCCCAAAAAAACTGCGATCGCGGCCGAAGCAGCTGTGCGGACTGATCTCGATCACGCGAACATTATTACACAGAGTTGCGCCATCCACTGAGAAGCATTTCAATTCAGTGCAGAATTCTCTATCTCTATTATAAACCCACAGATGGCTGTGATTTAAGCTAGTTAAAAGCCAGATTAAACAGCGCTGATATTCTCAACATCTGGACGCAAAAAAACAGGTGAAACATTGTTCCAAGAACAAACCAGTTAGAAGACATTTCACTCCACAACTTATGAATTAACTGTAACTTAGTAAAACTTTTTTGGCAGAAATGTGCCTGTATTCATATTAAAAATGCTGTTATATTAATAGTCATGTAGGCCTATAAATGTAGGCTATTAAATGTAATGCAGTAATGTTTTTGTTTAGAAGTTATGGCAGTTTATTTATTTATTTTGCATTAAATATTTATACTAAATGTTTATGCTACAATAGGTTTTTAGAGAATAATAAATATATATTACAAATTTTTCACCAATTGTTGAACCAGAATATCAAGATATTTTATTATTTCGCATATGATGGTGAAAAATAAAAAAGTTAAAGTTAAAAGTAAAAGTAAAGGTAAAGGTAAAGGTAAAAAAACACCACCATGTTATATGTATAATAAATATTTTTGAGTATAGCCCTTCTAGATTATTTTATCCCTTGAGGTAGCCCTCACACACAAAAAGGTTGGAGACCCCTGGTATATAGTAACTAAATGTTTTATAATTACAAGTTTGTGTAATTAGGGTTTCTGTAGCCAGTGACATTTCATTATTTGTATTTTATTTTCAATGCAGATGCAATGGCATTGTACATTTTTTTGTTTTTATTTGAAGACTGAGGCTTCATTAATAAACAAAACCCCAATTGTCATCATTGTTTTTGAGATATTACTTGCTGTGAATACCTTGTCTGATATAGGTTACAGTATTGTGGCATAGTATCAGGACATCCTAGTGGCTAGGGGCGAATGGCTGGATGATGGGCCTATTTGGGAGAAAGTCCAGGGCTGTTTTTTAGCCCCAGTCCGTCCCTGGTAACAGTCATAATAACATCACATATTTTAGGTAATATAATTGGACTACTCATTACTTTTGACCTAATTTGTTTATCACATTGATTTGAATAGGAATATCTTGTAACATATTGATATAAAAAAACAAAGAGAAAGAAATGATATTCCATATTTTTGTTATCAACGACTTGAAATGCATTAAACATTACATTACACCGGTGTTTCCCAAACTGGGGCTCATGAAGGAACTGCAGTTGATGAAAAGCTAATTATCTAAATAATAAACATGTAAAATTAAAGTAACTTAAAAAACAAAAAAATAAAACTATCATCAAAATAAAACCCTTACTAAAAATATGAAATATTTACCTTGTCATGACATAAGAGCAGCATGATTTAACCATTGTTAAATTTGAGGACTTTCCAAACATATATAAGCGATTGGTAAAAAAAAAAAATTAAATTATGAATATAATCATAATAGGGCCATTGTGTGAATAATATGTACTCTAATCATTAAAATAGAGCCTTGTCTGATTGTGAGTATTTTAAAAGGTAATATAATCTAATTACAAGTATTTCATTTTTGAAATATGATTACGTAATCCAGATTACACTTAATCAGAACTACCAGAACTATAAATACACACACACACACACACACACACACACACACATATATAGTACTCACTCATTTAATGTTGATAATATAATTTCTAATGAAACTTAAATGTACCAAATTAGAAGAGAAAGCAAAATAGAAAAGCATTTTCACTAGTGGTCACTTTTGGACCCCACTATATGAATATGCACACTATGATCTATTGAACATTATAAGTTAACGGGTAACGACTATTTAAAGTTATTATTATAAAGTGTTACTAAAGCATTAACAAAATACAGACATATGCACTGTTAATGGCCCAAACGCAGCTGCTCTCCTCCATTTTACTCTTAAATTTAAAAAGGATTCGATGTTTATGGCATGATGATGCATATATCCGGCACATGAATAAAGACTTTCAATGCTATACTGTATATTCACAACTTAATAGGCTTACATCTGCAGTGCACTGAAACAAAGAAAGCTTTGTTCTAACCAAATGGGGTCTGTTTAAAAGTTAGTATTGTTTAATTTAAGTAGCCTATCATTAAATTAAGGAAAAATAAATTTTGTTTGTATAGATTTTTTTTATTGGAGTTTTATGTCTGTCACATTTAGTAAAGACACTTCAGACGCACTTTTTTTTTTCATTATCACAGTAGGTAGTTACAAATCTCTCAAGTAAACAAATAGGTCAGTTATACAGTCATTGGTGAAATTAGTTGAATTTTATGATCTTCTTACCTATATATCTTTTCCATTTTATGGCGTTTGTCCCACGAAACAAAGCGAGTTTGGGCTGGAAAGGCGGAGACGGCACGGAGATCTCCAGCGCGGGAGCGCGCAGTAAAGCAGCGCTGTGAACTTCGCTCCTGCAAGAGGCGCGCGCGCGCGTGCTTAAATACCCAGGTGTCATTCCCGAGTCTTGTTTTGTGGAGCCCATGCGGGTTTTTCCATATTGCGCATGTGCAAATACCTTGTGGCAGTTCGACTCACGTGCACGCAGGAACAGTGGGTTATTCAGTTTTTAAAGCATGAATGTAGGACAGTGACTACTAAGTAATTATTCAACGTTTATTAAAAAAGATTCCGCAGTCATTTGCTCTGTAAATGGACATTTTGAATACACAACAGAAACACTGAATTTCAAATACAGTTTTACAATAAGGTCCAAGCAAGCCGAACAGAACTATGTCTTTTCACAGCTCTAGGAGATGACAAGTTAGTTTTATCTCCACATTTAGAAAGCATTTGAAGCTAACCACAAACCTTAAAGTTAGTACTTTAACATAGGCTATGTATTTGTTTTTTCTTTCTCTCATGTGCAAGCTGCATGTTTATATGAGAACATAAGACATTAGAATTTCACAATGTCCAGTGTATGCAACATTTTGTGTAAGATTTTTAACAGTCATAGGTCCAAATTCGTGAGAAGGACATTTGTGTAGAAGTTAAAGCCACACCATTAATCCATCCCATAACTGAAAGTGATTATATTATCCCTCAAAATAAACCGCATGAAACATTTAGTAAAATTTCACATTAGTCACAAAGCTATATTAAAAGAATATTAAGAATAATAAAATGAAAAGCAATGAAAGGAAAGTTGTATATTGTAACTTCATTTGATGCTGGCATACTCAGAGTTCTCTACCATGACGCTCTGTTTGTGAGCTGGTTTGGCGGCAGTCTTAACATGGACAACAGAAGAATATGTCACCTCGTCCTGGAGAGAGAGAGAGAGAGAGAGAGAGAGAGAGAGAGAGAGAGAGAGAGAGAGAGAGAGAGAGAGAGAGAGAGAGAGAGAGAGAGAGAGAGAGAGAGAAAAAGACAGATTTTGTTAAAAATACCTACATGTAGCTACATATGCATTTATGCATGCACAGAATACACTCTGTCTGACCTCATTTTCATCTTGTTTTAAGTTTTGTCCTTGAGTTAAGCTATCAGGATTTACATCAGCCTGAAGAAAGACATCATGATCAGAACACACATATACACTGCTTTTTATTTCATTCAGCTAGTAAATACATACACTGGAAGTGCACACATGTACTGTATCAAGTTAACATATTAAATATTTATCTGAATGAGTTTGAGGCAATTTGTGCTTACCTGTTTCTCATCTTCACTACTCACTATCACAAGTCCATCATTGGTCATCTTTTTGACATCTCTTCTTCCTAGAAAAAAAAAAAAAAAAATCTCAGTCAAATTAAAAAAACATCAGACAACATGTGTGGCTAAAAGATAAAAAAAGGATGGTGATGAGTTTATAATACTTAAAGTTGAACATTCGACATCCTTTTGACATGTATTTTTCCTATTTGTAATAGTTCAAAGATGTGTTACGGTATATCATCAAACCTACGTATGCTTTTGACTTTAATTTCGTTCTGAATAACATCAAATGCTTTGTAATGGTCAGTAAATCTTTTTAACTTTCTTTAAAAAAAATCAAAGGTTTGAGAGGCCAGTCAATTTTTACTATTACCATCACATGGTAATAGTATGTGTGTGTGTGTGTGTGTGTGTGTGTGTGTGTGTGTGTGATTTCTTACCTCTGCATTTCCAGTAGATCAATGCTAGTACTGCTAGTAACATTAATACTGGAAGCAGTGACAACAGAATGAAGGCTGAAAAAAAAGAAACCCACACACACACAAAGATACATACACACTTCATACTATGCAGACACTTCAAGCAAACAGGGAAACATACATTTGAATATATATAGTATATCTAAAAAAATCTTTAAAGCAAAAGAGGCTGTTACGTACAAATTGTGACTTCTGTCTTTGGTTCTCCTGTAAGGGTTTAGTTAGTTTATATGGTTATTGCATGACCTTTTGTTTTTTCTGCAATGAGTTCAAAATTCATCATCATTTACACAACTGAGGATATATTATTCTAGAACTTCATCATCTTCAACAGTGTATAATGCACAATTTTAATATTGTAACGAAGCAACAACAACAACACAGAAGAATATTACCTTGAACACTGAGTGTGATGTTGACGTGTTGTTGATGAAGCACAGAGCAATGATATTCTCCCTGATCTTCTGTGTTCAGGTCTGATATGTGTGGAGACAGATTTCCTGGAGAGGATTCATTCAACAGTTTGACTCTACCTCTGTGTCTCTCACTCTGTTCAGTTGGGTAAATTTCTACAGGTGTTGTTGTGTGATTCAGTGAAGTATATGTCCATGTAAGTGGAGGTTTAGCCTGTAGTTCAGTACAGGAACAGGGCAAAACTACAGACTCTCCCGACTCGAGTGTCCCGTCACCTCAACCGTCTGTGTGTTCTGATCCAGATCACACCCTGACAACACATTAGACTGACATTTACACTGCACTTTACTGGAAGAAGAAAATATCTACTGCATTTGGAGAGATACGCAGGTTTCATGCAAAAATATTCCATTTACCTTTTATCTTCACTGTAATGTCTGTATAATGTGTGTTTGACTTTGAACCCTCACACCTATATAACCCTTCATCCTCCTTTCTCAGGTCAGAAATGAGCAGAGACAGATTTGCTGGATAACTGTCATTAAACAGCTTCAGTCTGCCCTTGTAATTCTCATTTTTGAATACTTCATTTCGTTGGGCCGTGTTTAGCATGAGCCAGGTGAATTTGTCTGTAGTCTGATGGTCAGTACAGGAGCAGGGCAGAAGGACTGATCCACCTATGTAACCCGTTACTTCTTTAGACTTTCCATGATCTGAAATATCACAACCTGCAGACAGAGAGAGTTTCTTCATGAATGGATCAATGTGATCTTAGAGATTAATATCAGGAAGCAGAGTTTAGTATACCATCATTGAATAATAATGCAGCATGCTTAAAAAAATAAGCATGAAATAAAGATTCACAAGTCACGTGATAACAGAGCATGAGACTCAATCTGAGCTTTAAGTTCTGGTCAGGGTGCCAGAGTCCGTATCACTGTATGAGAAATCTTCATTTTAAAATAAAATTCACACTACACATCCAGGGCATGTTTACATGACACCGTTTTCAACTGAAAACAGAAAACTTTTTATACATTTTGGCCGTTCATTTACACGACAATGGCTTTTTGGGGACCTGAAAACGCAAGCTTTTGAAAACGCGTTTCAAAGTGCAGGGTTTTAAAAACAATGCCTTTATCATTTCCATGTAAACAACAAAAAACGTGCATTTGTAAAAAAAAATAAAAAAAATGCGCATGCGCATTACGTGTTTGTGGGGTGTTACTTGACAAAATGACATCTCCATACTAGTCTGGCATAGGCTAATACAGCCTTTTTAGTTATTTTCGCAGATCCGTGTGAACGGGGATCGTTTAGTTTTTAGTACATCGGTGTCGTGTAAAAATACCCTAACCCTGGTCCGGGAGCACTACACATTTTAGATGTCCACCTAATCAAAACACACCTGACTCAACTCATCAGCTCATTAAAGACTCCAAGACCTCAGATGGGTGTGTGAGATAAGAGAATTCATGCGCACATCCAAAAGAAACCTTCGCTAAAACACAAAAGAACCAGTTTGCCTCGAAGACCTTGTGGCTGAAACGTTGCAAGTTAATAAATGCCGTTGGGAGCATGAATAGCAGTGTGCGGATTCTTTTCTATTTTAGCTTTTGTCAGGCAAGAGAGATATAAAAAATGTGCAGTGTTGCCACTCCAGGACCAGAGTTGGGAACCACTGATCTACATCACTCAGCACTATCACAGAATCACAACCATTGATGAATGATTCATTTTTACTCTTCCTTCTTAAAAGTATTTATAAATCTGGACTTACCTTCAGTAAAGTGAAGCATAAAGAGGAAAAGACAGAAACACTCCCTCATGACTGATTCTCTGAACTCACTCACTGGTGGTCCAAACTTACACACTCGTCACTTGATCAGCGGGTGTGAACTGAGTCTTAATTTTGTTCTCGTTTTCTTTTAAGTCTTCAGGAACTTAGTATTTTGCACCATTTCCTCTTCAGCTCTGCAATTTTGTTTCTGTTCCTGGATCACTGACACTAATAAAACATATATGCTGTCTTTGATATTATATCAGGGCTTCTCATGTCACTACTGCAGCTCATGATTTAACATTAAGAGAGTTAAATGATCTAGTCAGTAGATCATGATCCACAATGTTGTCTGTTTTATGGCTTTTAAACTGATGATTTTGCTAAAATTGATGGCTGAATTATTGCCTTGAGCTCGTTAAACAGAAACGATCCTCATTTAAAGTCATGAAAACATATGAATGCTCCAACTCAATGAGCAGATTAAACTGACTGTCAAACAAACAATAAAAATTATTAGGTAAGCAGTAAGCGTTCATGATGTCTGAAAGTGATTAGCGTGATTTAATATCAGATGAACAATGTGCTTTAGTTGACATTCAAAGATAATGCTGACTTCTTAAATATGAATGATTTTGTGGTGTGTGTGTGTGTGTGTGTGTGTATGCATGTACATACAGGTTTGGCTATACTTGTGAGGGCCAAATGTCCTCACTTATACAGTGAAATATATTGTGACAACTAACTAGGACATTTTACTTGTCCTCACTATTCAAAAAAGGCTTATATTGGCCAAACATGTTTTTATTTAAATCTAGTTTTGCAAATGTTTCTGTGTTTAGGGGCTGGGTTAGGCAATAGGAGATATCATTATCCTAATATAAAAACAAGTCTATGAGATGTCCGCTCTAAACATTTGTATTTGAGGAATAATTGATGATGCAACATACTAAAAAACGTTTTACCCAATCAGAGGTCAAGATCTCTAATGCACTCGATATTTGTATTGTAATAAAACAGCACAGTTCTTTTGATAACACACACACACACACACACACACACACACACACACACACACACA